GATCAAACTATGGACTATTGCTTAGCAGGCAGCACACTAACCAACCAAGCCACACTTGCTCCTTAAAGCGAATGAGTGACATTACTGAGAATCAAACTATGCACCTTACATACAGTACCAACCAACCAATAAAATCCCAATAATATTCATATAATCAATCAGCACACTCCCCACTACCAATGATGSAATTAAATTCAAAATTTTAATAATTTTTGTCGTATTTTCAATACTGTTCTGACATCATTAGAACTACGAGAGAAGACCACCCTGTGAATGGATGACACCCTTTGCCACGCCCTGTCTCATCATCGTACTGTTCCCATATAAAACCTGACATCTGGTACTGCCTAAAGATGTTAGAAATAAGATTATGCCTTAGTTCAGAATACAATGATCTAGCCTTCTCTTGGTAGGGGCCTTCAGTGTGGCTGTAGTGACGCAGAGCCCTGACTGACAGGTAGTTCATGTTAATCCAGATAGATCCTCTCCAGTATGGGCCGTCATGTTCAGTGTTGTATTTCTGGTAGAAGGGGTCACTCTTGGAAAGTGAGCGAAGACCGTAGTCTGTCCACAGAAGATCTGGATTCTTCAAATCGGTTAARATCTTGTCCAGTCTTGGAGAATCTGGTTTCAGAATTTKGAGAAGGAATGGAAAAAGACTGACRTAACCAAAGCAGTTGACAAATCTCAGTACAGGTCCTGTRCGAGAGGTGACRACCCGGACAACACGTGTGGGACCTCCAGGTTGGCTTGCTCGGTGAGTTAACTTCACTAGCTTAGTATGGTTCCCAAAATCACTGTACATGTGAGCTTTCGACGACCAATGATAATGGTCTAACAGGGTTGCATCTGAGAGGTATGCATTGGTAGAATGATACACCTCTGGGTCTTTTCCTACTGCTGTGGCAATGTCGGCCATCAATCCTGCAGCAAATGCAATCCAGCATCGTAGATCAACATGCCTTTCATCATCACTTGGGTGGGACGCTCTAGGGTAGTCATCAAGTCCTGACGTCAGAGTCTTYGGGTTAAGTTCCCGGTCTGTTTTGGCGTCTCGTCCATGCCAGCGGTATGTAGAMGGAAGCCGGCCGAGTTGKGTAGTGTTGAACCAATGAAACCACGCCTTTAGCCGAGGGAATATCTTCACGAGGTACTGCTTATCCAGTACCCCTTTGTCAATCATAGATTTGATGGGGAGAATAAGAGTTGGTGGATTGGCATTCTCATTATGTTGAGTTACAAATTCATCTGGAACTTTAGTACGAGCTTCRTCTCCAAGAATCTGCTCTCTAGGGATCCAGCCTTCAATATTCATAAGATCAAGCCAATGTCCAATGATATCCATACTAATATCCTTATCCCATTGACTTATCAATAGCTGATGAAACCCTTCGTCCCATAAAAAACCGCGAGGGAAAAACGGTCTTGATGGGACTGCTGTGTAAAGAGCACTTTCCCAATACTCGACTGGCTTTTTTAAATATCTTGACACTACACGTGACTTGCCGTAAAAATATCCTATTCCACCGACCATGTTACTAAGAGCAGCTTGAGCAAACCTTCTTTCTTCTTCGCTGAAGCTCTTGGACTCCAAAGGGAATGTTTCTTCAAAYTTTTTATCAAAAGAATCTGAAAACTTCCGAAAGGCATCTGAAAAAATGTTCCCTGAAAGTCTTCTTGTTCTAGAGGTAAAACTTGCYGATTCAAAGATGACTTCCATTTYAAATGGAAGTTGGAAAGTCCATTGYTGKACGTATAAGTTGGTTGGTAGTTCTCTTTGGTTTTCGTCACGCTTCGGAAGAATTCCTTGTAGACCTATGAGCTTTAAGTCTTTCTTCATCTTTATATACCCTAAGCTTTGCATGACAACGTCTTTGATGGAATGGATATTTGGGGTATGAGTAGCGAGGAAATTGGAAAGTATTACCTTATTATTTGGCTTGGGAAAAATGATTTTGAATTTGCCAAGCTCTGGTGATTCACCTTGAAGTTCTGTTAGAGAGTTTCTTCCCAAGGATGGTTTGAGTTGAATTGGATTGTCATGGGTTGTGTAGAATAAGACTGAAACAAGCTGGTTTGGATTTCCCTAAGGGAAAAAAGCATTGTTGATAAGATTTACTGTGATTTTTATAAACATGTGAACTCTGTGTCTCYGAGTTGCAYGCTGAAATTTTGCTTTTYGCTGCTGCCAGTCAAAAATATTATAGGTAACAACTTATTAAGTTTGACGGCAGCAGAAAATAAATTATTTTAGCTTGCAATGCACATGTTTATGAACATTGCAGTAACTTAAATGAAATGACATTGGAGCTTTGATTACGGCAGGAGAGCTAGGGTTCTGAGGAAATGAAAGGGAAGGGAAGGGAATGAAAGGAAAGGAAAAGGAAAGGAAAGGATGGATTAATTATAGAATGGGAAAAAAAGCAAATAATGGAAAAGTAAAGTACAGAATAAAAGAAAGGAATGATTAAATTATAGAAAAAACATAATTCCTTGAAAAAAACCCTCAAATCAATGGAGAGACCCAACACACTCTACCCATATGTAATATTGCAGAATCTATTACAAAACACCGTACCTGTTCCCTCTTTCTACCAGAGATCCTCGCTGTCCAGTCACCACCRTGATCTCCCCCTGCTTGTTTCACAAAATCAGTCATAAGGATAAAGTCGTCGTCAACAATCTCTTGAGTTCCAAAGTTGACCCCGTCATGTTTGAGCCATCCATACTTGGACAATCTGTCACCCTGTTCACAGGTGTGTCTGATTGACAGCTGTCCATCATGAGGGAACTGGGAGAACCACATTAGACCAGGCATTAGAGATGCTGGGCTCCTAGTCCTMGGAAGGAATTCAAGGCCAAAGTACATTTTAGTATATTTTGTATGGTATTTTTATTTATAAGCATATAGCTCCTAAGTGAGCAT